ACAACTGCCAGTCTTCCCCTGCAAGGAAGAATACATGCAGCTGCAAGGAAGTTTGGAGTGCCTTCTAGAGCGTATCATCCATCCATGCAGATGGAACAGTGAAGGCCCGTAAGTCTTTCCACTGCCCCATATGAACTGAGGGTCCCTTGTGGAGCAACCTTTCCAACCTGGTACCCAGTCTAGAACATCTGATGGGTACCAAATTGGGGAAGGCATCCCTCGGCTATGCACCAGAACCTTTTCAGTGCACAGGACTCCCCAGCATTCAAGTCGGTGCAGAAAACCAGGTCCAGAAGGTAAAACATTGGCAAAAACCTTCTCCCGTTGAACAAATAGCCAATTAACAGGTAGAATTTACAAATCGAGCACCTTTTGCCATCAGTGGCTTAATCTGGCATGCTCATCAGGGCTCAGTAGAAGGGGAAATAGTTTATCCCCAGTCTCTGCTATTTAGAAATTAAACGGTACATTTTAAAGTTGATTAAAATATCTGGCAGTTCTAACAGGCTTGCAGTTGAAAACTACAGTAACTCAAATCCATTCATGGATCTGTTCACATGTGCTTATAAACTAGTTGCTGCCCCTCCACGAGAAGAGTGTGTACGCCCTGGCCACTGGGAAAAGATCCATTGGAGGTTGCATGGCCTGCCATGTCTGATCTGTGACTGCAGATTCACCCCCACATAATAGTACAAGCCCCGGGCAATGAACACACACACATGAGCACACCTTGTCTTGCATTATTGATTGTGGTACACTCCTTCCCATATGCGCTTACCTGGATATAAATCCCAGTGACTTCAATGGGGCTTAATCCCAGGTGATCATATAGGATTGCTGTAACAAAGCAATCAGGGATAGAAAATTCCCACGTGCTTGGCCCCTCATCCCATACAAGTTGTGATTCCCTTTCAGTTGGCACATTTTCATTTAGGTTATAAGCAAATTTAATATGATGTTTGCAGTGCTTGAAGTTTGGAACCCAGGTTTGGGTTTCACAGCCCCTATCTCTTCTTGTAGAAAACTTAGATTTAACTTTGCCAAATCCAGTGATGAAAGGGAGCAGATAGGATAAAGTTTGAGGATATGTTTCACACTGGAAGGAAAGCAGTGCCATAAATAGTAAGCCTTAAAAGCATTTCTTTTAATCTTTTGGTGTGTTCTCCAAAGGTGGGGGCACATACAGTGCATAAGTTTTTTAAAGGGTGCTGTCACCATTTAACTCTAAGTGCCTACAGTTTTATGGAGTTACTCTCATTGATTCAGCACCTTTCCTTCTGTCTGTCTGTCTGTCTGTCTTTCCGTCCTTCCTTCCTCCTCCTTTCCTTCTGTCTTTCCCTCCCTTTCATTCATTGCCCCACCCTCCTTTAAGAGCTTCAAAAAGTGCAGTTGGAACCAAATTGCTTTTTAAAGGCTGGGAAGTAAATAAAGGGATAATTTGTGTCAATGTAAGAGCAGGACAATGAATGGAGGCAAATTTTCACACTTGCATTAATGGAATAGTTGCTGTGAGTGCACAAATTTTCTCTCCATTTATTTCCCAGCCATTAAATTTGTGTATATTTCCCCTCCATTTACTTCCTAGTTATTATATTTCTCAGTTCAAAACCTTGCGGAAATATCCCAAACAGTTAGAGGAACAAACGCATCAGCGAGAGAACAGGGGAGTGTGAAAGGGGTGCCAGCAACGGTGGTACCCCCCACTTCTATCTGCCCCATCCCATGCAGGTGTCCCCATGGGGTTTGTTTTAGAATTTTCACAGACCCCAAGAATTGTAGCTACAAGTGCTCTGAAACAGAGGAGCACCAACTTCTCACCCTTCTTCAGGATCTGGAAACTTGGGGAATCATTGAACTATCAGTTTAGCACTTTAAAACCAGAGGGTGACATTGCTGAGGGGGTGATATTGTTGTCACTCCCTTTTGGTGTGTCTGCTTTCACTGCTTTCCCCCTTTACTTCTCAGGTTGGCAGCTAGGCACCTGACAACTGCCACTGTGCACAATGTAGCCTATATGCAGTCTCACCTAGCTGATCTGTTCCCTATCTCAAAAACTTACAAGAACATTGACAAAGCAAGACAAGACATACTGAGTGGCCATAATTGTGCATTTTGCGCACCTGCAAAGCCCGCATAAATCAATTATGGGCATGGTTGCGCAACTTTCAAAAAATAGACAGACAAAAACTAACCTCAACTGCACTTTTTGAAGCTCTAAAAAGTAAAAATAAGCAGTGAATAGAAAGGGGCAGCTATGGGATTGGAGCAGGGAGAGAAAACGAGATGGGTTCTATGGACGACACCGGGAGACCAACTGGACAGCCATGGGAATACAGGCGGGAGAAGAAGCCATGGTAAGTCCAGTTGCCTTGGCAGTGCTCAGCGGGTTAATCCCACAACAGAGCAGATTAGCATAACAAGTGAACCCACCTAGTGTCCTTTGTTGAGGAGCACAGATGAATTCCCGAAGATGACTATATTGGAACAAAAGCCCTATAACTCAATGGTGGTGTAAACACAGAAACATAGAAACAGAGCGAGTCAGAAGGGGTCTCCCGGGCCATCTAGTCTGACCTCTGGCACCAGCCGGCTCTGTTCACGACATGCCCACCATGAGCACGTCCAGCCTATCCTTGAACACCCTCACCAATGGGGCCTCAACGACCTCTCGTGGAAGCCCATTCCACACCCTCGGGGTCCTGACTGTCAGGAAGTGCTTCCTGGCATCCAAATGGAACCTTGGCTCCCTGAGCTTTGCTCCGTTGGAGTGCGTCCTGCCTTCCTTTCTCCCAGAGACCTGGGAGAACAGGTCTCTACCCATCTCCATGTGACATCCCCTCACATACCTGTATGTTGCCAGCATATCCCCTCTGAGTCTCCTCTTCCCCAGTTCCCTCAGTCTCATCTCATACGGCATCCCCTGCAAACCGGCCACAAACCTTGTGGCCCTACGCTGCACTGACTCTAACCTGCCTATATCCTTTCTGTAATGAGGGGGCCAGAACTGAGCACAATACTCCAGCTGTGGGTGCACCAGAGTCATATAGAGTGGTAGTAATACCCCTCTTGATCTAGAAGCCACACTTCTGGCTATGCAACCAAGGGTGGCATTCGCCCTCTTGACCACCACATCACACTGCTGACTCATGTTTAGCCTGCAGTCAACCAGTACCCTGAGGTCCCTTTCACAAGTGCTGCTCTCCAGCCACTTGTCACCTAACCTGTACATATGACACCTATTCCTATGCCCCAAGTGCAAGACCTTGCACTTATCCACATTGAACACCATCCTGTTGACTCCTGCCCAATTCCATAGTCTGTCCAAATCCTTTTGGATCTGGAGTACCTGCTCCTCAGTTGTGGCCACTGCTCCAGTTTTAGTGTCGTCTGCAAATTTGATCAGCAGACTGTTCACCCCTTCTTCCATGTCATTGATGAAAAGATTAAATAGGATTGGCCCCAGGACAGAGCCCTGGGGGACCCCGCTTGTCACTGGCCGCCATCCTGATGATTTCCCACTAATGGTTACCCTCTGCTTTCAGTCAGTCAACCATGCCCTATTCCACCGGACAGTGCTTTGGTGTATCCCAAAACTCCTCAGTTTCTCCACCAGGATATCATGGGGCACTTTGTCAAAGGCCTTGCTGAAATCCAGGTAAACCACATCCACTGCATCCCCTCCATCTAGCCATCTCAAAACCTTGTCATAGAATTCCACAAGGTTTGTCTGGCAGGACCTGTTTTTGCAGAAGCCGTGTTGTGAGGCTGTCAGCCTCCCTTCCCTGTCTAGCATCACTAGATCTCTCTCTATTACGAGCCTTTCCATTGTTTTTCCTAGAATGGACGTAAGGCTAACAGGTCTGTAATTCCCCATGTCCCTTCTACTACCCTTTTTGAAAATTGGGACCACTGATGCCACCCTCCAGTCCTCTGGAACGTCACCCATTCTCCATGAGGCCTCAAAAATGGAGGCCAACGGGCTTGAGAGAACCCCTGCCAACTCTCTGAGTACTTTCGGGTGTAACCCGTCAGGGCCTGGCGCCTTTGTAATGTCCAATGCCCTGAGGAGCCCCTCGACTTCAAGGGGGGTGACTCTAATCTGTGCCCCTAAGTCCCCAGCCTCATCTAATCTCCTATGTGGATATCCCCCGTCCTGCTTTGGGGAGAACACAGAGGCAAAATAATCATTTAGTCTGTGTAGTCAGTATGGTCTTCTGCAGGGGAGTATAGGGCAGAGATGTGATAGCTACACTCACTTTAATCCTGTCTGCTTTAAAGGTCATGCCCATAGGTGATACCTGCACCCCCAAAATGTTGTCTAAAATAGAATGTGGCCCACAAGTCAAAAAACATTTCTTCCCACCCCACTTCCATTACCGTATCAGACCATGACTGGGGTAACCTATAACACCTCCTAGCCCATGAAGGTCACTGGGTGAGCCTCACTGTTCACCTTCTCTGATACCTTGCAAGCTTGTTGGGAAGATACATTGGTGGGAGGGGAACTAAGTGCCTGCTTTCAGCTTCTTGGATGTCACTATAATAAACAAAACAGATATAAGCTCAAGGCTCCAGATTCAAACAGTAGCATTTTCACGTTTAAAAAGAGGAGCTATCTCAAGTTGCCAGACTCAGCGAGGCTGGGATTATGGCTGCACAGAGTGGACCACACTGGAATTTGACTCAGTACAGAACTGCCATTTGAATTCTTAAATAAATTCCCTTGAATTTTAATTCGTACATTGGTGTGATAGTCAGCATTTCAGGGTTGGATGCAGGATCTACCTTTAGTGGGCAGGTGTTCCTTGTTCAAGGAAGTTGCTTCCTTCTAACTTTCAAGGAACCCTCCCAAACAACAACACCCAACTAAACAACTCACTCTAACCAGTATCTGTGTGTATCATAGTCAGGGGATCGGAGTGGGAGATAAATTTCACTTCCACCAAGCGAGTTGCACTCTTCTCAATCTGGATCCAAACCTATAATGTCTAGATTTTCCATTTTAAGGTCATGCCTTCATTTGGAATTCTCAGCAGTTTTATTAAAATAATGCATTCTTCCCATTTATAACACATACACACGCAATTATTGTCTTATTATTTAATTAAGACAGATTGTAAGGCTTACATAGTGAGACTTGTGCTCACTGTTGCCACACCGAATGCATGCTGAAAATGAAATTTAATGCTTCAGGCAGTCTGCATGAAAGCCTTCCCCACCTCCCACTCACTCCCTGTGCTTCCCCTCCCTCCGAGCCATCATATTTTGTTACTAAAAACAGTTTGAGGTAAATTATTTGACATGAGATAAATATGAAATAGGCTGCACTGCTTATTTCCTGTGCATTATTTGGAAAACGGAATGACCTTTCAAAGCCGCTAACAGGCATGCTTCCTTTCTGTGTGCAATGAATAAAAACTTTGTGTTGCCGCTTGTTGTTTCCATAAAATGGATTTTTTTTTGGTCTGTGGTTATTCGTCTGTGTGTTTTTTTAATAAAAGCAACTATTTTTCAGCAATGGAAGTTAATATTTATTTTCAGGATTCTGTAAGGATACACAGGCAGATAACTTCTCCCACTCAGCTTCTTCCAGATGTGTTAGGACACAACTTCCTTCATCCTATAGCTATTTGTGCTAGATGGGGATCCTGGGTGTTGTAGTCCAACACATCAGTCTGGGGAAAGCTGGTTCCTTAAATACAACAACAAGGGCTTTGATCTGAAGTGACAGTTCTACTGTTGCTGTTACAGGCAAAAAGTGTGCCGTGTCCTTTATTGTGCAGCTTCTTTCTCAAGTGCGCACATGATTATCAAACATAATAGGGCATAATTTTACATAGCTAGCAAAGTGCCCTGAGCCAGTATACAAATTACACCTGATTGAATATCACTGTTGCTGAACTGCCATTTAATCACATTTCTTTTCAGATTACATGAATCAAAAAAATAATGTTAGATTTTAATTAAATGAATATACAGGAGTGGCATTTGAGACAATAATGCAGTTTCCTCTATTACCCTCTGTAGTAGTAGTAATAAGACATGACAGAGCATTATTTGATACCTTTCAAAATCCCACTTGTATTATTTTTTTCTTCCTCAGTCTCCAGAGTAATTTGAAGGGCTTGGATTTTACAAACTGTATTGGTGATGTCACTTGTTTTGCCCTATTGTAATGATAAGAATAATAGCTAAGGCACCATCCTGTGCATGTTTAGGCAGAAAAAAGCCCTGTAATTCCCAGCCAGACTGGCTGAGGCGCTCTGGGTGTTATAGGACCTTTTTCTGTAAACACATGCATAGGATTACATTCCTAATAAATAACAGCTACAGAGTTGGATTCAGATTTAGACACACTTAGATTCATTCAAATCAGAGGATCTAAGTTAATCAGGGTGAACTTAAATTTCTCTCCGATGGTTCTCCCCCAAGTATGACCATGTCCAAATCCAAGGCAGAGTGTAAACTTTGATTCACTGCTGCTCCGATGGAAGATACCAAATGAATTCCCTATGCTTTGGAGGGTTAAACCAGTTTTGATCCAAGCTGGAGCTTATAGATCAGAAATACTTGCAATGAATTGCATGTGTGTGTATGTTTCTGTGCATATGTTATATTCTGCAGAGATAGTAACCTGTCTGAGCTTTGTTGAGAGCTGTGTAGTGAGATAGTGGCATATACAGTTAAATATTATGTAAACCAACCAAGGACATGCAAGCCAGTGGGATTTAAACACCAACTTCTGTGCAGTGCAGCCACCCAGGAAACATGTGTACTTACGGAAACAAATAGGTGTCGTAACACAAGCTAACACTGTCTACTCAAAAGTAAGTCCGACTGAGTTCAGCGGGGCTCACTCCCAGGTAGGGGGTTAGAGGATTGGTGTCTACTCAGAGTATTGCATTGTGGACACAGTCTGCAATCCAGGACAATGAGTAGGTTGGATTGTAGACTGTGGCCCACCTGAAAATGAAAGGGAAGCCACATGGTGAGTGGATATTTTCATTCCTTCTCCCCTGGGTAGCCTGCACCACAGAACGTGAGAGAAATTAGGAGGGTGGCTACTCGGAGAAGGACTTTCTCAGCGGTGGCGCCTAAGTTATGGAATGCGCTCCCCAGAGAGGTCCGCCTGGCGCCGTCGTTATTTGCTTTTCGGCGCCAGGCGAAGACCTTTTTATTTAAGCAACATTTTAAATGCTAAATACAATTGAATTTTATCTGGCCAGGGCGGCTTATTTTATAATGTGTGTTTTAATTAAGATTATTTTATATGGATTTTAACTTATTGTTTTATCTATGTTGTAAGCCGCCCCGAGGCTTCGGCGAATGGGGCGGCATAAAAATGTTTTAATAAATAAATAAATAAAATAAAACCTTTTACTCTAAAACTATTTTTAACCCCCTGGAGGCCAGAGAATACCCTTTTAGAGGCCTCCAGACAAAACCTGCACATAAGTGAAATGTAAAAAATAAGTTAGACCAACATTGTCGCTGCCCACTGCTTTGGCTAAGATTTGTGGTTATCCCAAAGGACGTATGACGTGATGTTTGACATGTTGGTGCAGCAAAGTATTTAGCTTGCAAGTAGAGAACTTCAGTACTGAAGCCAGATACTTGGGCGGAGAGAGGTGAGGAAAGAAAAAAACAAGAGGAAATAGTTTTGCGTTTTGAATTGGGTTAGATAATTAAAATTGGGCTTGAGTTCTGTGGCCAACTGCCAAGCAGCACCTTTGGAGAGATAAAAAGGTAAGTGCTGTTATTTGGGGGAAGTGGTGTTGTTTCAGAATTAGTACTACATGCCCGAAGGCCTGCTTGCTCCTTCTGTACAATTTCTGTATTTGTAAGCACTCTCGGTACAGGAAGACTGAAAGGGCAGTTTCTGATGACACAGGAAGCCCAGAGTGGCTTGCCTGACCCCAGCGTGACTCACAACAACCCTGAGGCACTTTCTCCCCTTTGTTCCTTTGGCAGGTGGCCACAGCTGCATCTCTGGAGCACACTGGGACACATTCTGCTTGGCCTACTCCAGAGGAGGCTGATCAGAGCACGAGGAGCCACTGACAACTGCCCCCAAGCACCACTTGGGCATGTCAGGTTGGCCGTCATGGGCGCTCGCCTGGAGCCACTTGGCCAGAACAGCAGGTCTTGTTTGCTGCTCTCGCCAAGTGGCTCTTGGCAGGTTTAGCGATTCTTGGGCTTGTGTCACCAGGGTCATTCATTCATTCATTGAACTTCTGTGCCTCCCCATAACCTGAGGGTTCTCTGGGCACCTTACAAATGCTGGAACCAACATACAAATACAATCAATAAAATGGATAAAAACAATAAAATCAGTACATTATGAAAACATCTTGCATAATAAAAGCTATATAAAACCGTAGACAACATGACCAAACACAACCGGGTAAATTAACAACCAAAATTAAATAATAACCAATATAATTTGAATTAACCAAAAGCTTGTTTGAACAAAAGAAGTCTTTACCTGGTCTCGAAAAGGAAGCAAAGTCAACACCAGCTGTATGTCCGTGGGGAGGAAATTTTAGAGGCTGGGTGCCACTGCATGAAATAACTCCCTCCTAGCCCTTTCCCCCTTGATCTCACCAGGGGGCGGCATTCAGAGGAGGACTTCCGGGGAAGAGGGCAGACAGAAATGTATGGAGAGGGGCATTCCCTCAGGTACCCTGATCCCAAGCCATTTAGGGCTTTATATGTCAAAAGCCAATATAGCTGATGGAGGACCTGCACAACGTTCTCTCGCTGGTTGGTCCTCATAAGCATCCACTCCGCCATGTTCTGTATTAGTTGCAGTGTCCAGACCATTTTCAAAGGTAGTCCCATGTAGAGAACATTACAGTAATCGAGGCGAGAGCTTGCCAGTGCATGGATCAATCTGCTCCTCCAAGTAGGAACATGGCTGAAAGATCAGCCAAAGCTGAAGAAAACTTCATGCTCAGGTTGGTGTATCAACCCAACAACAACCCATGGCCTCTTGGAGTGGCTTACACACCTATAACCTGGGCTTATAAACCACTCCCAATAAGCCATGGTGGGTTCAGCCAAAACACTAAGCCCCCAGGTTTTATAGGCCCAAGTGGCTTAGCTTATCATAGGACTTCAGTTAAAATCTCCCAAACCTTTTCCTTGCTTTTTGTGATGGAATTCTGAGAAGTTTGGTGAGCTCAGGTTTTGCTGATTCACACAGCTCTAGTGTATACTTGTTCGTCTCTTCACTCTGGTGAATGTGTATTCCTGGATTTATTTTGCATGTAAAAAAAATAATGGATTTAGAAACTTCAGTTTAAATGGTTTCCTGTCTCCTAGGTATTTTTAACCACAAGTGTTTTTCATTGTAAGCCAAGAAAATAACTCGCCTTAATAAATTAACACTTTCAGTGCTTGAGAATGAGGGATGAGATAATGTTCTGACTTTTAAAAATAGTCCGAATTTAACTAATGTGTCATTAGTGCAAGCACTCATGTTTCTTGACTGTATCTTATTTTCCTTCTGTAATCTACTTTTCTCTTTTCATTGCTTTGTTTTGTGGTTTTACTTTGCTTTATGGACTTGTTAAATGGCAACATCCCCCCCCCCCCCGCCACCCCTTTCTCCTCTGAAAATAGCTTTTTATTAGAAGCTTAAGTAAAAACCTTGGAATGCTGAAGGAAAGCACAGAAACATTACAACATTGTGCAAATTTCTTTTGGCCAGAAAAAGCCAACAAATATTCACACACAGAAATACATCCAGTGCCTGCAGGAGAAAATCCAACTTATGATTAAACTGGAATTTAAATTCCTGTGTTGTTGTTTTTTCCCAAGTAGCATACAAAAGGAGATGTTGCATTGACACAGATATATAGAGTTGCAAAATGCTGATTGTGGGTGATTTGCGTGGAGGGAATATTATGTACGATATGCTTTTACAGCAGAAGGAGCTACTGGGGAGAAGCGAATCTGCATCTGAGCACTTGGTCTGCAGAGACTCACTCCCACTGAGATCCAGG